CCGACAATGCATTAGAAAAAACAAACGAGCATAGACCACAGACAATAGATTTGCCAAATGTTGTACCCATGAATGAAATTACAAACAAAAAAGATAGTGTTAAGAACTAGCTTGGTTTGCATGTGTAGTGTTCCGTATAATCAACACTTTCAAAACTCATAATCATCAGATGAAACACGTCCATTTGTTGCTTCAAAGGTATGTTATACCTACTTAGGATTTGTCGCGGAAAACCTAACGGGTTACCGGGGCTCCGGATCGACGTGCACGAGAAGGAACGGGGTGGTTTTTAGTCAGTAAGAGTCTGACACTCCCTCTCGCCTCACCCAGGCGGGAACAGTCATTCGATGATTCCCCCCCCCCCCCCGTAAAGAAAAATACATAGGTTTGCTTAAGCCCTACGTTTGGCAGGCAGTTTAGTAATCACAGTTGAGACATCAAATATTTAGAGATTTATGTTGTCGACACTGGTGCCCAATATAAGATCCAATAATCGACTGACCCGAGATTACAATTTAAAAGACACTTTTATAACAGAAGTTTTATATAATCATAGTGCACATTTGTAAGAGGCTCTTAGCTGTGCTCTTACGGGTCTCTAAAAAGGCAAGCAATAGAAAACGTAATAAGATATGGAGGTTGTAACAATGGAGGACCTTGACACGCCGCTGATGGATGACGTAGAGAGCTGCAATCAATGTCACTGGTACTGGTAACACCAGGGCGAGCGATTACTCCGTGTAATTGATACGGGCCACTGATCAATGGTTGGACTAATTCTAAGCTTGTAGCCTTACTTATTTTAAGGTTATAATGTTCATTTTTTTAAAATAATCGCTGCTGTATGCCTTTCGTCAATTGACGAATGCACATTTCCTTCAAATGACGCAAGTGAATTTTGCATATTGTTGTTAGGTACATACGCATGACGTGCGGTTGACGCGACGTTGTCGCAATGTCGTAACAACGTGAACGGAATTTTAATTTTTCTACGCAAGATGCAAGCATTCGTCTTCCATTCGTCAATTGACGAAAGCGTGCGTATTTTGATGAAAGATTTGGAATGAGTTTCAAGTGGATTGAAAATAAAAATTTTGATTTCAATCGATACCTATCGATACCAACATTTTTACTGTAGAATATCACAATGAAAAAGCCAAAAAAATCTGTCAGTGTTAACTCCAAACAACATGCTACGCAGATACAGTTGAAACCACCCAACTAACGATTCTGTCTACGGAAAGTTTTGATGCTATAGCAATTCAAGTCAGCGAGATAAATGGCTCTGAATAGGTCCTCGAATTGGCCGGCAGTGTGCGATCATATAAATTGTCGTCGTATCATGAATAGCATTGTGATGTGCAAAAATGTTCCGAGGTCATTAACCCTTACAATGACAGAACTAGTGTCAATTACTATGTTGCACAATGATCTCACTGTGCCCCAGCAATTATAACGAATTAAAGTTCATTTACTGCTATGCTAGGTGATAATTTTGTACGCAAATCTAGGAGTAGAAGTGTAAAAATGATGGATGGATGGATTTGATATAAGATATTGTATGTCCTTGGCGTCGAAGTGGGGTCGAGCCCAGAAGTAACAGGCAAGTAACTGGCATTGGCGTAACTATACCGTTCGGGCCCGTGGCAAATTCATCGGATGGGCCCCATTCTAAATAAAAAACAAAAATTTAGATGAAAACCTCTGAACGAAGTCCCTTCCAGCTGGGGGCCCGTGGCATTTTGATGATTTGCCACCCTGTTTGTGCGATTTACTACGCCACTGCTAACTGGCCTGGCCAAGCATGTTATGATGTATGGTGATAGAAGATGGTAAGTTTTACAACGTAACGAAGAATCAAGTTTAAAGTAAAGAAGAAATCCAATAATAAACAAGACTTCACAATCAAATAGCACAAAGTAATCGCGAAAGAAATCCAAACGATTTCAAAAACTTAAACCTATATAAAGCAAAAGTTCTTATAGTAAGAACTACCACAATATTTAGCTTCTCCATTAAATTTGGAATTCAATAAAAGTACGCTACATAGCATGCATAACTCGGAATACCAACTTATGTATGCCGTCACACTTGGCTCGCTACTAGGGACCCATAAGCGCGCATAATGTATTCAGTGGTAATTAAAAAGTTGCGTTTCTGCCCACTGCCCATAGCAGACTGGTTTCGCCTACTTGTGATAATGATCGCGGTTCCATGAGAGTAGATACTTTATTTCGCAACATTCCCTAACGCTGTGTGGCAATACTGACTCACGGGTACCAACTCATACTTTACAGATAGAAAAAAGGTCAAAGTTAGGTTATAGTTGAGATATTTATGATATATTAAAAGTGTCTATCTGACTACTGCTATTGGATTTTAAGCTCTGTTCTCTTCTGTTTTGGAGTTTTCAATTTTCATGGTTATAATAGGTGACACACTATTTATGATAATAGTAGGATAGTCTTCTTCTATCTTTTCATCAAATACTACTTGATTATTTATAGTCTAAAGAAAGTCAAATCACATGAAGATTTTCCTTCGTAAAAAATAAATATGAGATTTCAAAGGCAGTGTACAACGGTTGCAGTAGGAGTGTAACCTGCGAGGCCGCGGTAACCTAATAATTTTGGCGGAGTGACGTCACCGGTCACCGTAACCCACCCACCGCGACATTCTTGCATTAAACCAGTCCATAGTTTCTGCTTCAAATATAAATAAAATGTAGCGTTATCATTATCGACATCATCATTGTGTTTTCCCGTTAGGAATGCTAAAAAAATCAAGCTTTTTGGATATCTACAAAAGATCTGGGTCAAATATTCTGTTTTTTTTTGTTCGAGGCAAGGAAACAAAGGTTTGGACTTTACATAAGAAAGATAAAACCACTCCAAACTGTTAGTAAAACGTAATACTAAGGTAAGAATGAAATGGAAAGTGTTGTTTACAAATATTATGAAAGGCTTTTGTTTCCTGATACAAATGAATAGGGTTTTAAAGAATTCTATTAAAATCTAACAAATAGTCCACAAACAAATACGACGAACTTCACAAATCATAATTTTATCCTTCATTCAGATTTAACCGACGCAGAAATCCAACGATTTAAATGACAGTGAGCTAACACTAAACTTAGATCAAGTTTGAACAAAGTTTGGTTCACAGTCCAATCGCAGGTAGACAGTATAACGGTGAAGCAAGCTTACATATTCATGAGTCCCGTCCCTCGAACGGATAACGTCGAGCCCTTTTGTCAGCGCCGACGACTTTTTCCAACATTCCGACCAGACAAGCAAATAAACGATGAACAAAAGTACGAAACTAGAAATGTTTTTTTCCCTCCGGTCACTTTCCAACGGCGGATCAAAGTCGCAAGTTTTTGGAAACGGCGATTATTATTTCTTATTGTCAGCTATCGATCATAATAGTCTGACGTTTTGTTCGAATTTTCAAGGGCTTGCATCTCTAATTAGGGGCCGTAGTTTTTTGTTTTTGAAAATGGGACCGACATTTTAAATGATGGGTATGAATTTTAGGATGTGGAAGTAATAGCTGAGTATGACGTTTTGTTGGAAATAATTAACATTAGAATGTTGATAGAACTAACTAAAGACGGCATTAATACAGCACATCTAGTAACAGTAAAACAGAAATCAAATGGGAAATCTAATACAGATAAATAGTCATCTTGATCTTATCATTATCTTTCGAGGCTTTAACGCTTCAACAATAATATAAAGGACCCGATCAATGGTGTTTCTCACAATCGTCTCGTTGAATGAAAATCATACTCGGTGATTGTAAAACATAACTTGGTTTAATGTTAAACAATACTCATTCACCTTTTGTTAAAGCTAATTAACATTACCGTTAAAATTACATAATTACATTTTTGTAATTAGACTTCTACATGTGTACGTTCGCTAGACATTTCATGGCGTATTAAATAATCAGAAACGGCGACATTTTTCTTTAGAACAACTACTTGTTGGTAGTTATTGCTTCTTGTAATATATGCGTTTGTTATTTCATCTACGTGTGTCGTTTTACAAGTGTCTTCATTTATTTGTTCTTTACCTTCTGATCTTGTTTGGAAAGTACCAACGTCTTCTATCTTATATCCTTTATTATACTTAAATATGATAGTTTAACTCGTCGAGTACCGGTTTTGTAGACACAATTATTGAACAATAGGTTGCGGTCACCGGTGACCGCTTGGTGTTTGACAGTTTAAGAGAACGTATGTTTTACCACACTGATATTATAAATGTGAAAGTTCCTTTGTTTGGATGTTTGTTAGTCAATCACGCTGAAAATACTGTATGTATTTTGATAAAATTTGTTACACACGCAGGGTATGGGCTGACTTAGGTGAAAGGATACGTTTTATCCTGATTAAATACTCTCAATGGGATAAAACAGGAATTCGTGGGCTAATCTGCGGGTAAAAGCTAGTTACGCAAAATCTACGTGACGGAACTGAATGACATTTTTCACATAGATAGATTATACCTCTATTCTAGATTTCTGGAATAACACGCGGTTGAAGCCACTGCTAGAAGCTGATGTTTTAAATAATTTAAAAATAAATACATTTAAGTATCTAAATACATATCAATGTATTGTACAGTTACTTGTACATACATAATGAATAGCATACGTGTTTGTCAATTCTAATTTTGTATTAATGAGTTAATTACAGACTGCCAAATGGATAATTAATAAGAATGTTTGAACTTTAATTAGAGTGAAGTAAATTCAAAATTGACATTCAGAATTGATAATTAAAAATATCGGACACCTTTGTTTTGTTCAAAGGAATTTTATAATAGCTTAATTTTGAAGGAGAAATGAAAAGAAAACATGCCTTCAGAAAATTCATTTCAATTCAGGATGTGGATAAAGTAACAGAACTTACATCAATAAATGATAATCTCAATTCTAAAATTGTGTTAGAAACCAATTAATCAGCACTTAATTGAAATAAAGAAGAGACAAAAATGTCAGACAAAGAATTCAACGAAACTTTAAAACTGACGAGACACGCTCTCCTAATATCCGGGATCAAAATATCCAACAAAACCAAGAACAAAGCGTTAGAATACTTCATAAACCACTATTTATTTTATTGTAACTTCATTGCACTGTACACAGTTATATTTGGTGAAACGTACTGGGTGGTGGCAGGCATACGAAACAGGCTGCCATTCGTGGAACTATCCTTAATATCACCTTGTATCACAATAAGCATACTGAGCACAATAAAAACCTGGTTCCTCTTTATAAATAAAGGAATTCTGCTAAATGTGGTGGAGAGATTGAAAGCCATACAGCCGATAGTGAACAATGATGTATTAGACAAGACGGATGCGATTAAACGCAAGATTGTAAGAGACTCAATGAAGTTGTTAAAGTTCGTTCACGTATCTCTTATGACGGTTTACATTTTCGTCTTTACAACGTTCTGCTTCAGCCCTGCTTTGCTTTCTAGTTACAATTACTTTAAGACTGGAGAATTTGCCTGCGTCTACCCATACCAAGTTAAATATTTCTTTGAGGTGTACAAATCTTCGTTGTGGTTTGTCGTGTATGTGCATCAAGTTTGGGCAAGTAAGTAGAATTTTACATAGAACTTTATGTAGACTTGAGACTCTGGAATTATCTACACAGAGAAATAAACTTGTAGTGTGTGTTTGTGTTGGGGAGAACGGGTTGCCGGGGCTCCGGCTCGACGTGCAGGAGAAGGAACGGGGTGGTTTTTAGTCAGTAAGAGTCTGACACTATCCCGCCTCACCCAGGAGGGACTAGCCACTCGATGATTCTCCCCCTTTAAAAAAAAGTGTGTGTTTGTAATATTAAGACAACATGTATACACACATGTAGTATTAGTATTACGACATAACGACACACATACCAAAATAACATATTTTTCAAATTTTTGTCCTTCTGTCTATTCGTATTGGCTAAACTCTGGATTGACTGAGAATTTCTAGAACGAAATCTTTCAATAACATTAATATCTATCTAATGTTATTTGCAGTGCTTTCCGTATTGGGACCTACTAAACTAAACCTAGCCACTAGAAATTATGTTCATTATGGAATTATTATTGTGATTAAAACACTATCGTATTACGAAATGCACTACCTCTATAATAACGTAATTGAGCGTCATGTAATAAGGTTCATAATAGTTATTGATTAAAATAAGAGCAGGGCTATCTCGTTATCTGAGTGGTCGTAGTGCGACTGCCGAGCATTCCTCGGCTAGCCAACGAGGCAGCCTTTTTATTGAAGTCGGTTAAAATACATACTTATTACGGAGGTTCGAATGATATCTCCCTCATCGTCATCGTTGTTATGAGATAGGGTGACTAAGAGACAGCAGCATTGAGCATAGCCATGATGAATAGCAATGCTTAACTTTAGGTAGCTGATGTCCAATTCGAATTAGATTGTATTATTTATTTAAAGTCAAAGTCAAAATAATTTATTTCAATTAGATCAGGAAGGCACTTTTGAACGTCAACAACAAAAAAATTTAGAAGTGAAGCTAGTTGCTCATTCTAAGGTATAGATTCCTATGGAGGAACGAGCAAAAACACTCCATAGGTTACTCTTTTTCAATCGGGTTTACAATACAATATTCATAGGAAAGCCCTTTTTATTAAACACGTCTCGATGCAAAGGTATGTGTTATTTGTGCCAATACACATTTAAACACTTAAGTTCTAGAACTTTCCAGAAATTTTAAGAATGCAAACGGTTAATGTTTGGTTTTTTACTTCCTTATAAGAAATTATTCTTTCAGCTGCCATCGTTATTTTCAGCGTATACGGATGTGACACTCTATTTTGTGCCCTATGTGTGTACATTAAAATGCATTTTCGTTTACTCGGTCTTCAATTTGAGAATGCAGTGTCTACTTCTATTAATGAAACTAGGAAGAACTTAGGAAAGGCTGTATTAAGACATCAGGAACTCATTGAGTAAGTATTTTAAACGTAAATATACCTGGATTGTACGATCAAAGGTCAAAAGTCCACTGCCACCGTAAAACTACTATCGTTTGCGCTGCAGCGCTTATACACACATGTACACGCATATTTTTATCCGTGTGCGTGCGCGTGCGTATGTTTATGCGTACGCATGCGTTTTTATGCACATTCATATGAAATTACTTACGCATTGCCGTGTGAATATCACTCACGGTGGCAGTGGACTTTTGACCTTTGACTGTACATTTAATCAGAATGTCCTAAGTCTATGAAAGATCGTGTTAGAAGAAGGACCAAAAATGGTTGATTAATGAAAGGAATTAAATAAAGCATAAAGGCTTATTCATTCTCAACACATTGGACGCCGCCGTGTCGAACAATGATGACCGACGCTAGCGGAGGATTAGCTTTTAACACTTTTTGTTGGTAGTTAAAGGCTTAAGAACTGATACAAACATCAATGAGGTTAAACTTTTTAGATACTCATGCAATTCATTGTTCAAAATTATTTAAATAATTTCTAGATACACTATATGTACCCATTAACATTACTACATACGCGACAGCAAACCGGGTGAATGACGCGCAGTCAGTTCGAGCCAATTCAATAAATTACATAATTTGTTTGTTATAATAGTTTTTTGTTTCTAATACAAAGAATCTAAACATCTCTTGAATGTTAAACTACTTACAAATAATACTAAATATTGTTCAAATACCATCAACCTTGACAATGTCATAAAGTGGAAAGTTAACGTATTACCTAATAACCCAGATGTGCACTCGTGTGACTTACTCGGCAGTTCATCATAAAACGTTGAATTAATAACCACTAGCTGTGATTTGAATAAATAAATAAATATTATGAGCACTGCCATCCTTGCCTAGGCTTTGCGTGAGGTGAATGTTAATTATAATGGCCCTTGCTAAGACCCTGTGTGGTCTTTTTAATAGATTATGTATTTTGTTTTTGCACTGAAAATTGTTTTTATACTACGTAAGTACATAACCTCAGACTTGTCTCCTATGTAGGTAGACAGTAGGCAGAGACTACGGAATGCCCATTGCTACGATTCTTAGAAAAACCTCTTTCGTTTTATCTTCACAGTCATTAGTCTTTTCATGTATGCTCGTCGGTTAAAGGTACTTGTAATTTGGCTCTTATTCGATATATCTAGTCTTTTTGAGAGGTTAAAGTATTTAAGTCATCATCTGTTTGTTAGTGGATAAAAAGTAATTTTAACATTATTTATTGTGTGTGAGGTTACCCACATGTTTGCAACGCACTTGTCACTCGTTTGGTTCCGTGGGTGTTTATGTGTGGTGCTGGTCACTTGTCATCAGGTGGTTCAATGCTTTTTACCTAATTTAAAACAATGGATATTAGCGAATTGTGAAACTTCTTGTGACCTAACACATACAACTACCTTAAAGAACTGCATACCCCTTCGAAGAAGGAAACAAGAATGATGTTACATTTTTACTGCCTATAAAAATCTATATTGATTTTAGTCTACCATGTTAGGAGAAGCCAAACTGGACGATACTACGTCAGTGGCCAACAGCATATCATACTACCCTTTACTGTCAAATCGCTCAATAGAATTCCGACTCTATAGCAAAAGTATAAAGTTGGAAATCTGTTGAAAAGATATGATGCTGTGGTATCTGTTTTTGTACAGATCTGGCTACATACAGATCTCATTCCAGTCACCATACAGAGATTGGAAGATAACGCAAAAATGACTGACTATGCCACTTATGGGAACAATCCTTAGAAGACTGTGTTCTTATTTTAAGGAAGTCATCTAGTTATGCATTCGGATAAGTAGGTACCATTTCATGATTTCATTCGTCCATAATTTGTGAATACGCAATATAATATAATTTATATAACTATATAAATATTTACAACTTAAAATTAACTACAACTAAACTATTAAATAAAACGAAAGTAAAAGAAAAGTAGGTACCTATGTTGTATGGAGTTGACTCTGAAAATGTTAAAACAAATAAGTTAAAGTCAGGGTAGGCATTATGGATGTTTACTTTATCTACAGTTATTTGTTTTTGTTATTTTTTCGCTTCTATGGTAATGGCGCTGTTATCGTTTAAAAGTCATAAGGACATAGTTAGAGCTAAAATATGTAAACATTATTATATACACAATGTGATTTTATAGCGAGAGTCTTATATTAAATTACGTGTCTTGCATAAGTACCTTGTCGACCATAACCTCAAACAATAATTCACGCTGAACTCCCAAACTGAGGATCTAACCTGACTGCTTACCAGTTGCACTTACAGCAATTACAGCTACTAAACTAACGTTAGACTATTTCACAAGAAGATTAACATAAGTTACAGCTAGTTAAAACCAAATAGTTATAAGGAGCTTTCATATACACCCGAAGCGTTTACTAACACTTTATAGGTATACTGCGAAAAGACTATAAAATTTTATCATTACTGCCTTTATGGGCATTTGAGTGACTGGAATGGTAATTATTTTCTAAGAATTATTCACTATAAAGCATGGCTACTGCTTGGCACCTGAATGGCACATAACTTATGCATACTATTTTAGATTTAATGTGGCAGCACATTGTGTTGAGGTAATGGGATCTTATGACTTTCTTATCAGGTGTATTAATTGGTGCTACAGATTCTGTTTGATCCACAGTTTCTTTTTTAGTTTAAGATCTGATTAACTTGTAGATCTGAGTGCATATTTTTTTATTTTGGTTGAACTGGGCTTGCCATCCCCATCCGTAGGATAATCAGTAATCTCCTAATGTTTCAAGAGTTGAGTTCATGAATGTTGTGAAAATTACCAATTACATTTATTTAACCTCGTTGGCAGAGTGGTCGTAAGTGCGACTGCCGGGCAAGGGGTCTCGGGTTCGATTCCCGGGTCGGGCAAAGTATTACTGGGGTTTTAAAAAAATGGAAATGTGCCCGGTATATGGCAATAGGCTCACCAATACTATTCATAACATAAATAGTGAAAAGTGGGTGTTACATTGTACAGTGGCATTAAATGCCGAAATGTGCACCTCTGCCTATCCCTTCGGGGATAAAAAGGCGTGATGTTATGTTATTTATTTAACCTTGATTCTTTTGTAATGCGACCGTCTATTTGATAAACTCTATTACAATCTTCACTTAGAAGGACTTATATTTCAAAAAAATCAATGGAGCCGTTTCCGAGATCGTTGATTTAAAGACTGTTATGCAAGAATTGCTCATTTAAAAGTATTACATAGATAATAATGACTATAATAATTAAACTTTGAAGGTTTGGAGGTAGATGGCAGTTTCATCGCTTAAAATCGGAACCAATTACATGGAGGTGTCGTCCACGTATACCATACAATAGTTTCACTAACAATGTCTTATATTTCAGTCTCGTTAACCAAATGGAGGTTTTATTTTCAAAATCATCCCTGTTCAACATGGTCACCAGTTCGATTCTCATCTGCCTCAGCGCGTTTAACATTACGGTAAATATGTAAAAAAATTTATTTGTCTATTTCTACAGTAATCATTGATCCTTGTTGACTATATGTTATTATTTACAAATACGAAACAATGTCGATCTAAGAATATTATTCCTTCGATTCAGGTAGCAGATGAGATGCGCTTCATTCTGGCATTCATCACATTCCTGATGATGAGTCTATCGCAGATATCACTGGTGTGCTACTTCGCAGATTTGCTGATGATATCGGTAAGTTCGTAAACTCCTTTATGATATGGTAGTTGATAGGTAGTCAAATTCAATACTTTTATTGAAATGTCTAAAACGATACTTTTCTATAAATTTTGTATTGGATCGCAACTTATGACGTCATTATATTTCTGCGTCAGATAGCATACTCAATTTGTAAAAATCGAAAATTAGGTCATTTGTCAAATCAATGGATGAGAGTGTTAATAGTTTCTAATTATTAATTAAATTGAAAAGTTGAAACAATTTATTTTAAACTTAGGAAACTAGCCAATTATGGCGTTCAAATATAGGGCCAATAAGTCAATACAAAGTTTAATGTGTTTTATGGGCTTATGGACTCCACAAGTGACCAGGGAGCTGGCTATTTCTTTGGTCAGAATATAAGCTTTGCCAATTTGTCATACAAAGTAGCAATACTAGTCGTTTGGGAACGTTCCCCAGCGACAGTGATGCGAACGAGTACATACATATCCAATCTATCATTCTAGCAGTAGATAATCTTCCGTAGATTCTCAATTCAGTGCACATAAATTGGTTATCCAACTGAGACACAGAAACTGCAATGGAGCTAAGTTGCTTCCCATAGTCGGTCATAGGAGGTATTATGTTAGCTGTATTGCATTATATGCTCTCTGTTCAAGCACTCAGTTTAATAATGTAAACTAAGTAAGAGAAGTCCACAATGTTGGTTCAGATGTTAAGTTTAAAATTAAGGTAACACTTGAAGGCACTGTTGCTGGAATTAGTCCAAGGTCTTATTTCACTATTAGGTAATTTACTTACGAGTAAAAAATATTATCCTAAATAGCATATTAAGCTATAATAGTTTTTATTTTACAGAGCATTGAAATAAGTGATTCTGTTTACAAATGCCCCTGGTATGAGGCTGATGAAGATTCTAAAAGGACCATACTGTTTGTGATACTGAGGTAAGGAGTCTGACTTTCATTAGTCCATTTCATTACCTTTCATTATGTTGTTTTCTTATATCAGACGTTATCGCAACATAATCTTTCATTTCAAGCGACTTCCCAAAAATGGGACGGTTCTCAATAGTCACCTTTTATTTGTATCGCCAATTAAATTGGAGGCTAGGAAATCCATCGCTCCAAATACCGAACATGCCTACCCTATAATATCTACCTCTCCAAACTACTAGGCTAAGCCTCAATTGCGATTAAATTCTTACATAGCTATGATTATAGAAAAACTTATTCACCCACAAACTACAATAAGTAATTAACAGGGCTAGTCCTAGAAATTACAACTCAAAGTGCGTATTAATGTAATTGTAGCCACCGTACTACTACACCCCGGTCCGTTGACCGTCCTTCATCCCTCACTACATACTTGTGTATGGCAGCAGGTCCCACAAGGCATGCAGACTGACAGCCTGGAAGTTTGCAGACCTCAATCTAGGGGCATTCACTACGGTGAGTTATTTTTAGTTGCTAACAATCCATAACACTGCAGTGCTTGTGTGACAGGAGCTTGTGCAGAAGTCTTATTTGATTCGAAGGCTGAATACGGTGGTAGTTTAAACTGATAGTCTTTTGATGATGTTTTAACAAGATAGTGTAATTTGAAATCTTCTATACTTGTGTCCTTAATAATGGCGACTGATATTGGCGGTTTTAAACAAATATTTGGATTTTAAAATGCACATGGTTATTAATGCATGCCCAGCTTTTTGTCTTTAAGTAAAGAAAACGACGAGTGAGTCTATCTGTATGCAGGAGTGGATCTCTATGGATCTCCAACAAATTCACATTTGCAACACAAGATTTATTATCAGACTTCTTCACTACGAATTTTGTTTTAGTATAATTTTGGCGCAGTTACATCTTTCCAATTGAATGTGTAAACCTTCTGCTCGAACGCTGCCCAGTTACATTGTAATACCATACTTTTAAAGCCCGTTTTATAAGATGGCTGTTCGATACCGGCTTGTTTTTACATGCCTACTTAGAATGGTACTGATGTTGCATGTTTATCTTTGCTTCAGTTATTATATTATAGTCTTCACATTTTTTAATTTTTTCCCTACACGTGTTTTTAAGATCATTAACAGTGTTATTAGCCTCTTCTGGTTTAATTTTAATGTGATTGTGTAGATTAGTAGTAGATAGCATTTTGTTCACGTTTGTCGCTTCTTTATTGGTAAAAAACATGATTAAAATGAGTCAAAGTCAAAGTATTTTATTCGTGTGCTTTTCGGTGATACAAAAGGGTCTTAAAATTATTATTATTAAAATGATGTCATGGTTTTTATCATTATGGTTTATCTACCTATTCATATGATCATGGTTTCTTAATTTCTCTATCTTAGAACTAATTAAACTGTTGTAACTACAAGACGTTCGATGATGAAACAATGTCTGAATTTGTGTTCTGATATATGGAAATCACTACAAGCTACAAGTAGTGTTCCCAATAGACATTTTAATGCTAATGTCTACGATTCCAATTAACGGACTGCACCTGCATCTCCACATAATCTTATTCCTAGCGTTTTCTTAATTATTTTCAGATCCTGAGCAGATCGTGGTCATACTTCGCTCTTCTGAAGACGGTGTATAAGTAGATTCAAAACATTCCCGTATTTTCACCATACGTTAAAGAACATATCGAATCAAACAATAGAAGAATAGACTTTAAAGCTGAACATTATCATTCTGGTTTAATTTGTATAAAAAAGAAATTATGGATGCCGTAAAAACATTTCTAATCAATACAAAGAACACTTTAGTTGCCATAAGTTAGTAATAGGGTAGTCTGCTTATTAGTATTTCACATCACTAGCCTACAAGTGCCTACTGCTGAGCAAAGCCTCTTCTCATTCGGAGAAGGTTTGAGTACTAATAACCACGCTTGCTCAATGCGGCTTGGCGATTTCAAACTTATAATTAGAAATTATAAGCCCAGTTTCTTCAAGATGGTTATTCCTTTACCTTTTGTCAGTGGTGTCTAAATAATCTTAGAAAGTAAATATAACTCTGAAAAATTCACATTGGTACTTGCTGGTGGTAGAAAACCGCACACTCATGCATGAGAAGCGGGCGTTCTAATACTCCGGGCCACCACGAAGTTAAAATTTTATTCATCAGTATAGTATGAAATAAAAATTAGACCATAGACCTCACAAATACAAACAATCCCGCATAAATTAATTGCAAGGTGCAAAGGACCACACGAGTCAATGTTTAGCATAGTACTATGTAGATTGTAGATGTAGCTGCATAATTTTGAAGACATGTGTTTTCTTATCTCAGTTGACAATGTTGTAATTAGTGAGACAGAATTAATTATTGATAGTAAGCAAGTTGATGAGTCTGCTTTGCACTTAAACGGAGTACGCATATCTAAAAATGTAGTGTAACTAGATGATAATTACAAACAAGATAATTAGTTGGTAGATGATTTAATTGAAACATTAAAATTTTGTCAAATATGGTTATGAGTCAGAGCTAAATCAAGAAGAAAAATAGTTCATTGATCGTATACAGTTCATGTGTAAGGAGCTGGCCTTTTAAGCGACAGAACTTATTATGAATCTGACGAAAATATGAATGGAAAAGAAGGTACCAATAGAAGTATCTGCAAATTATGAAAGTAATACAAAGAATCAGTCGGGTAAACATAGACATACTTTGATATTAAAGAAAAAGTATCAGAAGTAGATATTGTCAATAATGAAACCTTTACAGCAGCCGTTTTGTCATGCGATAGTCACACAAACGAAACACAAAAGCATTTACGCCCAGGTGAAATGTAACGCCAATATTTCACACATTTTAAAACGTATATTCGTAGAGTGTTAATTATAAATAGAATGGAGGCACAGGTGCGAACCATCTCGTTCATTCCGACATTAACCTAATTGAGAGCACTCTACGAAATGTTATACAGGGCAAGCATTTTGTTGTTTTTGTGAACTAAATATTAAAATATGTATAACAGAATGTATTTGCGTTTTATTTTCGTCTTTTCAAGTGTTTCTTTAGAGGAGCGGCCTAAGGTTGGGTCTATTGGTGTATTTGATGAATGTTTTTCTTATTTTAAGATGGTATCTGGGTTATCTAATGTATGTGGTTTGATAGGGGATAATGAAATAAAGAGATACGAGACACAATGTACCACAAGTCTACCAACTCTAAGTTACTAGAGATCAGGGTAGAAAGACGGAGATGAAGATTGTCTAATCGAAATATGCTTTGATTTCTACTAAATAAGACTGTTGTAAGTGACTGCTGAAAAGTACCAGTAGCAAAATTGCTTTTAACACCAGTGATCAATATTTTGACCTGATTTATACCTCCATTTTTGCAGTTACGTGAACATAAATTCTTACATCAATGCTCGATATTCTAGAATCTGTCTTGCAAATTGTTTTAGCACATAAGTCTTTATATAATCGGTGGCAATAACCTGGCAGTGGTCGGTAACGAAGCGTGACATTGTTCACGCTAGCCACACTTATATCGCTTTCGATACAAGCGCTGGGAATTAGTATTCATCCTTCGTACGAATGACTAAGAAGTCAACCATACTCGTAAGTGTGTCGGTGAAATAGTCCACCAAGAACTCCTTTGTATTTTGTTTGAAAGTTATAGGTAGATAGGAATGTCTGTGGGAATCGTTTGTAAGCTAAGTGGATACAGGATGCCTCCAACCGGTCGATCTTGAAGACGTTTTCGGGAGGTCTATATTATTTATGGCCGTCTTGTAGCTGACATGACGATGAAGTGTTATCACTTGAATGTTTGGATGCTGTAGACTTAGAAATTGTTAGTCAGGCTGCTGAGCCTGGTTTAGCGCTGGCTAGGAACCTCAAAAGTTAATGTGGAAAAAGTGAAAAAAGGGAAATAAGGCCATCATCCATTTCTGTTGTGAAAATGATATACCAATTTGAAAAAATCTTTGATTTCAAAGTGTGTGAAAGTGTGTATGTGTGTGTGAAAGTGTGCGTGTTTCAGAGTGTGTGAAAGAGTTTCATTGAGCCAATAGGCTGTTTATCCCTATTTGTAAAATCCGAATGTACTTGATAGAAACCTCTAATGTCATTTGGGTGAAGCACAGCCGCTAAGCCAGTGTTGTATATTGGTGTTTGTTATTATACCGTTACTACGATGACCTTAGAACATGATAAAATGTAACGCATGCGTAATAAGGCGTAACGTGCGTATCTACTTGTATCTATTACCTACTTCGATGCGTGTACGTAGTTCGTCTATGAACATGTTTTATTTTCGTTATAGTTTCTTACAAATTTATGTGATGGGAGAATGTATTTATCTCTACTCCTTCTCATTCCCTCAAGAAAGGATGTTCTAGGATCTGACAAAAGGATTACATTATTGACAAAAATTAAGTACCCACCAGCGAACTCTGATAAATAAGAATAGACTCTTTTTGTAAAGCATAAAGTTTATTTCAGAAAAAAGATTACAGTTTTGTTATGTCCTGGCACTCACAAATTAGGAATAATTTATTTGCCAAGAATGGTTGTAACAAACATGTTGTTATGTAACTTATGGAGGGTCCCCGTGCATTTTGCCTTACGGCATGCAAAATTATTGAATTAATTGAATACATTGCCTAAGTATCACTCACATTAGGATTCCTTGTGTCGTGAGGTCCAGGCTCCTTAGCTCCGTGTATCTCCGTCTGTAATCTGTAATCTGAAGATTTTTTATCGTAGTCTACAACATTTCGATATGGCAAACCCTGTTACGTAGCGAATGATGCTTATTGCCACATACTCATGATATTGATATTGATATTTTTGGAAATCAAAAGTCTATTGGCTAATTTAAAGTTCCTTGGGTAAAGCTAAGCTACCAATTACAAGAAACAAAACACTACCTAGCACTTAATAATAACGTAGGAGTCAGAAAACCAAAAGTATGTATGATAATTTGTCTACCTGAACTAATAATCCTGTCCCTTCCACCTCTCATAGGAAAGAAGGAGATAGTAGACAAAACAGAGCCTTAAATAGTAAGTTCTATAGTTAGGACAATACAAACTATAATTTAGTAAATGATTGAATGTATTAATATGAAATTATCATCACGCTAACACGAGACATGCATAAGAATGTTACGAATAGACAATGCACGGGTGTCTCAGTAAAAACTCAGGTAACTAGCTATTCATAAAGTCAAACCAACTTTTTTAAGCCAACCTTAATGTTATACGCATAAAGATCAAAATCCCATGCCTTTAAAATCAAAACACATCAGCATCATACAGCTACTCCTTTTGACTAAAGAGTAATGCGGATATTCACGTCCCTATTACGACGTACTAACTGCCATTTTTGAGGTAATTTAGAGCAAATGCTTGAGATTTTACAACCAATTTTTATTTTCTGACAAAGAAAACCTTATTTCTAAACAGTTAAAGGTGGTTATCGAGAGTTTGGAGAGAGGGAAATAAAATGGCGGGACTGCGATGATGCACAAAGTTGCGGCTGCAGTTGTTATCGATCTTATTGCAAGGTGGTAGGGTGTTGTTTATGTTGGTGCAGGTGTAAATGGTAATGTGGCAGAGGGACACGACAGCGGCAACCCGTGTGCGACGGCATGCAACGATACCAGGGTTTGTGCTACATGAGATTGGAACGAACAGATAAGTCAACGAACGTAGAATTTTTAATGTAAATACTTAACCTAAGGTTTCGAAAATAACGGTTTTGGAGTCTAACAATGAACCTATTTCCATATAATTGTGAATTTTAAATGCAGAAAGTATTTCAAGTCAGAATTTAATTGAATAGATTGAATTGAAACTAGCCAAATTAGGGGAAAAACGTAATGTTTTAAATAAGGTTGCAACCTCTTTGAGTAGACGTTGCATAAACTTCTTGGAGAGGTAATAGAAACTGGCCACCTACCTTTATAAGAGACGATAGATAAAAACCTAAGAAATTCAAAAATAGAATTTGATGTGTCAATTTATTTGATGACGCTTGTAAAATTATAAAAGTCGATGTCATATGGTAGTTAACTAAAGAATATTTTTTGCCAACTTTTGTTATTCCCACATTTTGCAAACGACAATAGGTAAGCCATAATAGATGAGGCATTCATTGGAGCCTAGAACAGTATAATTATTTAGGTCCGTACAATAGCTAGTCTAGACAATGAAGTATTCGAAGGTTATTTACCCCTACAAAAGTTAAAAACATGCTATCAAGTATAATTTCTTTAATTTACTGTAATTCTGTAACTACTGGTGTGTTATTCGAAATTTTATATCTACCTAGCTTCTGCTAGCGGCTTCGCTCGCGTTCCAGTGGCATAATAAAAAATAATTAAAAAACTGCGTTTAAAAAACCGACTTCAAAAAACCAAAAACTAGTAACAAACAAAAAATAAAACACAAAAAATAACTATTATTAGTACTGATAGGTTACCCACCCACTGATAGGTTACAAGTCGGCGCCATACCTTGTGGTAGTTATTATAAACCGTTGAGGAGTTCCCTCAACCTTCTGTCGACTCCATCATCAGGTCGCCTCCAAACCCTTATCAAATTGTAGTGCTTATATATACCTACTAATTGAAAAATAAAATAGAA